CTTTCTCTGACTGGCTTATTTCACTTAGCATAATGCTCTCTGGGTCCATCCATGCTGTTGCAAATGTTAAGAGTTCTTTGTTTTTTTTACAGCAGTGTAGTATTCCATTGTGTAGACGTAGTCATTATCATCTCTTGCCTGGATTATTTTAATAGCCTCCAAACTGGTCTTTTACTTCTTCCTTCCACCACAATTTATTCTTGACACATGCCAGGTTTTCCTATTAAAAATGAAAGGCAAATTAAAGTATCTTCTCTGCTCAAACCTTTCCAATGGCTCCCCATCTCAACCAGAGTAAAACCATTATCTGTAAAATAGCTTATATGGTTTTTAATTGGATTCCTATTATCTCTTTTATCCCCTCCTCCTCTTTCCCCTTCTCCTCCTTCTCCCCTTCCTTGCCTTTTCTTAGTCTTCTCCAGTCACAGTGACCTCCTTGCTCTTTTTCTAACACCTTGGGCATACACATACCTTAGGATCATTACACTGGTTGTTCCTTCTTCTTGGAAAGCTCTACCCCAAATCTCCACATGACTACTTCCCTCACCTCCTTCAGGCCTCTGTTCAAATGGTACCTTTTCAATAAGGTATTTCTCTACTCTCCTCATTGAAAAATGCCAACTCCCCCCATACCTTTACTCAATTCAAATTTTCCACAGCATACTATAAAATTTGTTTAGAAAGACAAATGTATGTATTAGAGAGGATGTGAGACACTGGAACGCTCATACTTTGCTGGTTGGAAAATAAAATGGTACAACCTCTTTGAAAAACAGTTTGGTACTTCTACATAATGTCAAACATAGAGTTACCATATGATCCAGCAATTCCACTCCTCAGTATATACTCAAGAGAAATGAAAATATATGCTCATGAATGTTCATAACAGCATTATTCATAATTGCTAAAAAGTAGAAATGACCCAAATATCCTTAAACTGGTGAATTGATAAACAAATGTGGCATATCCATACAATGGAATATTATTTGGCCATAAAAAGAATTAAATGCTAATACATGTTACAACATGGATGAGCCTTGAAAATATTAGGTAAAGTAAAGCAGCCACACACAAAAAACCCATATTGAGTGGGTCTATTTATATGGAATTTCCAGAATGGGTAAACATATAGAGACAGAAAGTAGATTAGTGATTTCCAGGGCATGGGGAAAGGAGAGTATGGGATATGACAGCTAAGGAATAAAGTGTCTCTTTTGTGGATGATAAAAATGTTCTAAAATTAGAAAGAGGCAATGGTTGCACAACTCTGTGAATGTACTAAAACCATTGTACTGTATGCTTTCAAAGGGTGAATTTCACAGTATGCAAATTACTATCTGAAGAAAATAATTTATGTAAATTATATCTGAAGAAGCTGTTATCTAAGGGAATTTAACCGGGGAAAAAATATTGTGTTGATATTTTTGGCGGAGAAGCCAAGCCTCGCTGCGGCCGGACCAAAAGCCTGGGTCCTGGGTGCCGGAGGAAAACCGGTGCCGGCAGCCAGGGGAAGGAAGAAGGAAGGCCTATTGTGCAAATCTTCGTGCAATGGGCTTCTAGTCATATATAATCAACCTTATTAAGTAGTGTATATGTTATGAACTTTTCTACATCCTTACGTATTCGCCTAATCTGCTGATTTATGAGAGAAATATTTTACCTCGAATATGCCCAAAAGTCTACCAGCAATCTTAATACTTATTTCTTGTCAAGTCTTTCTGAACTGTTTCAAACCTTTCCCACTTTCCCAAACTTCCACCACCCTCTCCTGTTCCATCACATCCTACTTTATACATAAAACAGAAGAAAAGATAGGATTGCTCTTATCTGCCTGCTACCAAACATACAACTTAAAAAAGTCTACCCCATCCCATTCCATTTAACTTTTCTCATTTGTATAGCTCTCCCTTTTTCTGAGACTAATCTCTCCACCTTACCTTTTTTTAATAATCCTCACCCGAGGATATGCTTTTTAAATTGATTTTAGAGCAGAAGGGAGAGGGAGAGAGAAACACTAATGCAAGAGAGAAACGTCTATTGGTTACCTCCCATACCCACCCCACCAAGGGATCCAACCTACAACCTGGGCATGTGCCTACACCAGGAATCAAACCCGCAACTTTTCCATGCATGGGATGAGCACACTGGCCAGGGCACTCCACCTGACTTTTGAATTCCATACCTTTCCACTTTCTCAGAAGCCTGGCCTTATTAATTTTCCCTTTTCTCTCTTAACTTAGTTCTCTCTCCTCTCTTTCTCTCTCTCTCCCCTGCCCCCTCCCCGACCCTCCCCTTCTCTATCTATATGTCTCTCAAGAGGTGAAGTTTAATTCCCCTCTCCTTGAAACTGGGCTGGTCTTAGTGCCTTGCAGCTTCCACCTAGGCCTCTTGGAACACTCACTCTTGGACTCTTGAGATGCCATGTAACAGGTCTGCCTACCCAAAGTCTATCTTTCTGTGAGAAGAACCAAGCTAGCCAGGTGGAGGTACTATCTAGAGAGAAAGATGCCCAACTATTCTAGTTCCTAGGCATTCAGGTCACCCCAACTGAGGGCCCAGACATCATGAAGCATAAATGAGCTGTCCTTGATATTCCTTATCTGAATTTCTGACCCAAATTACCATGAGACATGATGATGATGACGGTTTTAAGTCACTAAATTTTAGGATTGTGTGTTATACAGAAATAAATAATTGGAAGTTAAAAATGGCCTCATGTTGCCCTAGCTGGTTTGGCTCACTGGATAGAGCGTCGGCCTGCGGACTCAAGGGTCCCAGGTTCGATTCCGGTCAAGGGCATGTACCTTGGTTGCAGGCACATCCCCAGTAGGGAGTGTGGAGGAGGCAGCTGATCGATGCTTCTCTCTCATCGATGTTTCTAACTCTCTATCCCTCTCCCTTCCTCTCTGTAAAAAATCAATAAAATATGTTTTAAAAAAATGGCCTCATGTTGCTAAATGTAATAGACATGTTTGCATCCCTATGTATTTGACCTGTTAGCAGCTCTTGTCACAATTAATCATTCTCTCTTCTTTTAATATATTTTTTAAAATTGATTTCAGAGAGAGGATGGGAGAGGGATAAAAATATCAATGATGACAGAGAATTATTGATTGGCTGCCTCCTGCATGTCCCCTACTGGGGGATCGAGTATGAAACCTGGGCATATGCCCTGACCGGAATGGAAGTGAGACCTCCTGGTTTATAGGTCGACACTCTAACCACACTGGCCAGGGCTGGGGATGTTTCATTTGCTCAGGGAACTTTCCTTGACCACTCCTACAGAGCACTCATTACAGTTGTAATTTTTGTGTATTTAAATAAATATTTGAATGTTTGTCTCCCTGATTAGACTATAAGCTTCAGGCTGCAGGCATCAAAGTTGGTTTGCTTGTTACTGTGCTCACAGTACCTAACTCAATGTGTGGCACATATTAGGTGCTAAACATATATTTTTGGAGGAAAGTAGGGAAGAAGGAAGGAAAGGGAGGAGAGAAGGATGGAAGAGAAAAGGGGAAATAGGAGGGGGACTCTCCCTCTTCCATGATAGGTTACTTGTAAATTTTTACTCTCCTTGTATTTCTAATAGACTTTGCTTTATATATCTCTAATTCATGTTGTTATGTGCATATAGGTCCATGATTGTCATATATTCTTAGTCGAGTGCACCTTTTATCAATATTAAATATCCCTTTGTCTCTTTTAATATTTTAGCTCTGAATTCTATCTTTGTTTGATTCAAATGGTGCTCTTTTTTTGCTAGCATTTAGACAACTCAGAATTTTACTGTTTCTTTGCTCACACTATTTCTTATATTCTACATGTTCTTCTTTTCAAGATTCATTTTTTTATTTTGCTGTAAAACCTACCTGAGTAATTCACAATGGTTCTGAATATATCTGCAATGTGCTCTGAATATGTAGAAAAATTAGAGTCTAAAAATCAGAGTTTTGTTGTGTGTATTATTTCCAACTCAGGGCCAATTATTCTATTTATTCATTTTGGTTCTTTTCTTTTATGTTGTAGATTTTCTCCAAATATTTCTGTTGATTCTTTGATGTCTATGCATGTTAGTGAATAAGGGACAAACACATCTGCAAAGATAGCTTTGCCTGAGTTTACTCTGCAGTTATGTGTTCCTAGATGGCCCATCTCCTGAGCTGGAGGGCCTTGTGTAAGTAGGTTGCATGTGTTGACTTGTCAGCTTCACTTTGAAGTGGGTATGAAGGAGACAGAGACTGTTCCCCCTACTCCCTGCAAATTGCCAAAACAATTTTACTGTGGCAATGGAGGACTCCAGTGTATTTCTTCCTGGCCAATTCTTCAATCGATCAGAGGGGGGTTCCCACTACACCCACTCTTTGTATTTATTCATTGTGAGATTTGATTTTCTCTAGTAATTTTCTCCTGCAGGCCTTGGACTTGACTACTCATCCTCTCATCAATATGATCATATCTGATTCTATCCTCAAGGAATTCATCTCAATTTCTGAACTACTGATGGTACATTTTCCTTTAAAACCATTCTTGGTTTTTTGTGTGTTTTTTTGTTGTTGTTTTGTTTTTTCCACTCTGATGCTTTAAGGGACTTGGGGAAGAGAAGATGGGAACAAAGTTACAAGCATTTATGTCGTCATCTTGATCTAATCTGACCAAAGTCATTTGCTTATGTCAATTTGCCTGAGGCAAGGAGAGTGGCCAGGGCTCACTCTGAGAGGCAAGGGAAAAGGGCTCCTTCTGGTGATAGCTTCTGATCACCCAGGACTTCCAATAGAGGCCCATTTGGATTTTGAAATCTAGTATTAGCATAGCAATTCTTCTGAGAGAGCCAAGGCACCAACTAGCAGGCACCATCCTAGAGCAGAAAAATTGTGAAAGAAAAAGTACCCCCTTGAGGTGAATTAACTAGAAAACAGTACCCCTTTGGGTAGTCCAAGTATAAAAATTCTAGCTTTCCTCTGCTGACAGTGGCATCCTGTCATTAGCGATCAAGGCTTGTTGACTAGCAGAATACAGACTAGATTTAATCCTACCTCCAACACAAACACACACACACACACACACACACACACACACACACACAGGTTTCACTTTGAAGTGGGTATGAAGGAGATAGAGACTGTTCCCCCTGCTCCCTGCAAGTTGCCAAATATTTTACAGAACCATATATAGTAAACAATAGCCTCTGTTAGTGCCAATTACAATGTCCAGAGATAAGGCCTCCATACTCTGGGGCTTCTCCCAATTCCACACAAGCCTGAGAGGTCAGGTTCAAGCTCAGAAAAACTTTCCTTAAGTGAGCCTCCTATAAAAGCAGCTTTTTCTCCCTGCTATTTACCACCCCAAGAAATAGGCCTCTGACCTCCCTGAGCCCTTGCACAACCAACATTACAGAGCAGCCCAGAGAACTCTGATTTTACAAACTAGGCCCTCCTTACTTCTAGTAGAGCCATTCTCAGCACCAAGAGGAAAGGTCTTTAATGCAAATGCCACCAATAGGCTGCTCAAAGACTATTAAACACCACTAGGTCTCTCCAAGAGTTGTGCTCAGAAACTAGGGACAAGGACTCTACCAACCTTCCTCTCCTGCCCCCACAATTTACCCCCACTCACCCAACCTGGGCCATCAGCGTATCTACCAGAAGTAATTCTCTTGGCAAATCTACAGGAGATGATACATATAGATATACATATACATATATAGATGTAGATGTAGAAATATATGTGCCCTTCTCTAATACCATCTCCCAGAAATTAGCTATATCAACGGTTTGCTGCATTGTTTTCTTGACTTGTTGCTATGCTTACTATGAAATGTCAGATGGAAAAGGACAAAAAGCATGTGATTTCACTCATACCCAGAATATAAAACAAAATAGTAACAAACAAATGTAACAAAACAAAAACAAGCTCATAGATACAAACAGAATGGTGGTTACCAGAGGGAAGGGGGGGGAGTGAAATGTGTAAAGGGGATCAAATTTATATTAATGGATAGATTTTTTGTTGGTAAGCAAACAATAGAGCAAATAGGTACTGAGTTGTAATGTGGTATACCTGAAATTTGTTATTAACTAATGTTACCTCAATAAAAAAAATAATTAATTAACAAAACCAGCAGCCATTCCTTATAAAAACTCAATGGAATAGAAGAGGACTTTCTAAAGAGAATCAAAAAGCCATGAGCAAGCATCATAATCAAGTCGCTTCCCATGAAATTCACAAATAAGACACGGATGTCCTCCATAGTGTTCTGAAGGTTCTAAAATATAATGAACCAAGAAAATGAAATAAGCTGTTTAAATCTAAAAGGAAGAAAGACAAAAAGAGGGAAAAAAGAATAATTGTTTGCAGATGATATGCTTATATGCATTGAGAATCCAAGAAATGCAATTTAAAAACTATTAAAACTGAGAAGTCTATGTAGTGGACATCTACTGTTTTGGTTTGCCCAGCATTCCTTTCTCCCTGCTTCTGATAATAGCACCCTTCTTCCTTTGGAGGTCTACTCCTCATTCACTATCCTGGTAGGATGGCCTATGAGATTGCCCTACTCCATTCCTCGTGTACACACGTGCCTGGCTGGGCCCCTAACCCTGGATGAGCTACCCATAAAACCAAATTCTGCTGGACACAGTGGCAGCTCCAAGGGGAAGGCATGTGACCCAGGCCAGAGATATAAGACCTTTCTTAGAATATTCCAAATCAGAGGTAAAGAAGTAGCTTTCTCTTTTCTTTGGATCTTGAATCCTAAGAACAGTTCGTAGCCCTGTCTCTACTATTTGGAAGAATCTTAGAGAATGAGGCAATGCAAAAAAGAGAGAATCTGAGAATAGAAATGAAGAGATGCGTGAGAGCCTAATACCATTTGAGTCTCTGGATCCTGGCCTGTCTGAGATTTGCCCTGTCCTTCCCAGTTAAAAAAATTAATGAACTCCATTTTCTTCTTAAGCTTATTCAAGTTGGTTTTCTGTCACCTGCAAACAAGAGTCTTAGCTGATACAAGCTGGATGTAAGATAAATATACCTGCCCTAACTAGTTTGGCTCAGTGGATAGAGCACCAGCCTGCGGACTGAAGGGTCCCGGGTTCGATTCCGGTCAAGGGCATGTACCTTGGTTGCGGGCACGTCCCCAGTAGGGGGTGTGCAGGAGGCAGCTAATCGATCTTTCTCTCTCATCCATGTTTCTGGCTCACTGTCCCTCTCCCTTCCTCTCTGTAAAAAACAAACAAAAAAATCAATAAAATATATTTTTTTAAAAAAAAGATAAATATACCAAATCCCATAGCTTTCTTTTTTTAAGTATTATAAAGGAGCTCCCTTTTGTTTTATTATTTTCCAACTTTTATTATAATAATTTTCAGACAGAAAAGTCTAAAGAATTTTACCATGAACACCAATATACCCACCACTTAGATTTTACAATTAACATTTTGTTATTATATACCAATAGCTTTCTTTTATTTTAGCAATAACAGAAATAGAAACAGGAAAAAACGTATCTCATTCACAACAGTGGAAAAAGATATGTGTGAAACACTAACCAGCACAGACAACTAAAGCTCTCATAAAATTCTGCTCTCGCTAGACAAAGGATCAGGAAAGGAGCAACCTAGCAAGACAGAAATTTTTAGATAACTGATTTACTCTAATCAACCACAATGGAAAAAATGTAGCCCCAGCTTCACCCACGCCAGGAATAGCCAAGTGGGAAGCCTAGACTCCAACCTTGGCAGGCTCTCATCAGCACCCCCATCCCCCAGTTCCCTCTGCCCTCCCCGCTCCATGGAGACTAGGTGGGGAGTCTGAAACCCCGCCCCCTCCCCATTGGTGTGATATCACAAAGGCAGGAGGGAGCCCCCAGCGATGTCAGGTAGGAATTGGGCCAGTCTTTGTACAGAATAACCCAGACTTGGGGAAATGTATCTATTTCAGATCATTTGCGGGTTTTTATTTTTGTTTTTTTTTTTGCTTTTGGTGCCAACCAGGCCGCTGCTGGGCTAGTGGGGTTTCCCCTGAAGGGATTGGTCAAAGCTGCTGTCAATCATCCTTGAAATAATTAAATATACATAAATTCCATGAGTAGAACTTCACGTGAAGAAAGGGCACAAACGTTGCTATGGTGATTGCTGTTAACTAAAACTCTTCTTAGCCCTCGGGTTTCAGATCCGACTAGATACAGAAGAGGGCAACAACAAGTCCTGTTGATTCTCCTGGGACGGTGAGTTAACCCCCCATTAGAGATGGTAAAATGCAGGGAGGGTATTCTTTAGGAACTTTTTACCTGCTTTTGGCCAAGAGTCTAAGTGATGTCACATCTTTGGGCAATTTTAAATTACTCTTTATGTTATACTTCCTTTCATTATACCCAAAAATGTAGAATTAGCATATTAGAAGTAACAGCCTTTACTCACCTTTGATATGGAGAATTTAGAGAAAAACATATTAGAGCCATAGTTATCTGACCACAGGAGGACCCTCAACAGCACAGCACTATAGCCTGATGAAAAGACCAAAATAAAAGATAATGAGAGACTTGATTCAGATCACAAGTAAGATTATACTTTGGAAAACCCTCCAAATTAGCTGGAGGACACTTTTGAAGGGAGACTATTTCTTTTTTTTTTTATTTCTTAGAATTCAAGCCAGCAGGGGCTTAAGCCATCATAATATTGAAAAGGACATGTTATACTTCCAGTTTAAGATGTTAGTCTGAACAAATGTGCTTTTCTCCCCAAATTAGCTTTAAATGAAAGAAGAAAAATATAAAATTAGAGCCTTAACCACAAGGGATAACAGAGAAGGGTGTGATTAACAGGCCAAAATTGTCCGGATTTTCCTGAAGGTATGAAACAAATAGGATAAAATTGATTGAGAAACCAGAGTCAATGAATCTGTGACACCATAATGATATGGGAGAGGGCTACTGTAAAAGTGAATTCTCTGTTTTCTAACATAGCATCCCAAAGATAGACAATGTCACAGTCACCTGGATCAGAGGATGAGAATGATGATGAGGCCATCTCAGAAGATAATGGTGAGTCAATGAACTAATAAAACTTAGAGTTAAGAGCACGTCCCCCCCCCCCCCC